CACCAAGACAGTGTGAGAAGATAAAAAAGGAAATAACATCCATCTTTCACTCTTTTGATCTTCGCATCACATACATGCAAACATCAAAATCCTCGATGTTACACTGGACCTACAACACGATACCTACCAACCGTTTATCATGGCGAATAACCAGTTATTGTACGTCGACTCACGCTCTAACCATCCTCCAACCATCTCAAATCAAATACCTACATCAATTAATCAACGAATATCTAACTCTGATTCCAAGACTACATTTCTCAAGGCTGCTCCAGACTACGAAAAAACATTAAAGGAGAGCGGCTTCCAGGACAAAATGAGTTTTAAACCATCACCTGGAAACAAGCCTAAAAAAAACGAAACATCATCTGCACTGTTAAAAATAAAGGTGCAACTAAAGGTGCAAAGATAGAAAATGGTGCACAGTTGCACCTTTTTCTTATAAAAAGGTGCAGAGAGGGTGCAGAGTTCAGATAATCGATTAAAAGGCTCATCTTTGCACCTTTTGTTAACGGAAAATGCAGATGGTGCAAAATGTACCTTTTTATAGTAGAAAAGAACAAGTCTAGCTTTGTCAAAAAGGTTAAAAAACATGTTCTGTTTGGGTTTCATACCAGTGTTCGACACAGAAATGTGGTGTATTACCTTGAAAAATGTTTCAATATAGGCCAGAATTAATTTCTTTAGACAAGCAGGTTCTGTAAAGCCTATTTGATTTGGTTGAGTATCTGTAGGGCCTACAATAACGGAGAGCGTCAGTGAATAAAATTAAGCAATGACGGACAGATTTTTCATTGCTTTACATCGACAACGATAGACGCAGTGTAGTCCTACGTGAAGTAAGTAGGCCTATATTTAAAATGAAAAACCACTGGTAGTTCTTCACTTATCCTATTATCATGGAACAGTTAAATGTATATACATAACACACGGGTGATTTAGTTGCCGTGTGGTAAAAAAAATGGGCATGATTGACACAGAAGGTGCAACTTCAAGTGGTCTGAAAATCTCATTGGGTTCATTATTACCACATCAAGGGTGCAAATTCGTAACTTGGGGCTCAACTTAGTACTTGCAGGGTTCACAACAGCACCACAAGGTTCAAATCAGCACCCATAGAGGTCCATTTTCGAGCAACTTAGCAAGTTCACATGAGTACCTTATCAGGTTAACATGAGTACCTTTAGCAGGTTAAAGCTTGGTTTCCATAAAATTGCTATACGCTAATTAATTACCCACAGCTTTTGGTTGGTGTCAAAACATCGCTAGCACTTTCGCCAACAGTGCATGTTGAACAATTGGTTCAACCGTTGCAGACAAAACAGGATCATGTGCCCACCCCGACACCCCGATTCGTCTGCAATGCAATCAGCAAAGTTGAACCAGGTTCAACCTTCCCGACAACTGTCGGCGACTGCCGCCAATAGGGTTAGCGATTTTATGGAAACCAAGCTTTGTGCTGATTGGTCGGTTGAATCAGGGAGCCTTCCCGACTGCGTCGGGGCTGCTACGCGTTACAACGTCGGCGATAACATAATATTAGGCACCTTGAGTAATCACAGTACCTTACGGGTTCAAATCAGCACCTAACAGGTTTACATGAGCCCCTCGCCTGGTTGAAATTGGCACCTCGGCAGGGCCGCAGGTTCGCATGATTGGTTTAAATCCACCTTAGCAGGTTCACATGAGCACCTTAGCAGGTAGGAAGAACAGTTAAATCTTGTCGTGTGCGGCAGGCTTTAAAGAAGTGCACGCGCGTACGACGAATGACAGTTAGGCGCGTGTAATAATGTGTGCGGGCAGGCTTTTTTTCCCCGCCGGCGGCAGAATGAAATCAGACAGTTGACGACGCACCCTCTGTTCATGCACATGTCTTGTTAACCTCATTACTGTTTGTCTGGTTGTTGACGTCTTTCCATCAAAAGTAGAAACATTATATTGGTCGGTTGTTCTTCTTTTCATCAGTCATTTGGCCATAACAAAACTGCGTAAGTAAGTAGACCAAACCTAGCCTAGGCCTATATGCTACCTAGGTTAGGCCTATATATAGCCCTAGGGGCCTATCAGATAGGCCTAGATAGACCCCCAGGCACCCGCCCGTAGCCTAAAACCTAGGCCGTAGCCTAGGCTAGGCTTACTTTAAGCAAAATTAAATAAATCCGTTAAGGCCAGCCTAGACCTATAATAGGAAGACTTCTTGGACACTGATCAGTCACTGTCTTCTGCTAGAATATTTTGACATAAAACTTGGAAATGTAGACAAAAAAATTTTCTTTTCATATGTACCTAGGCCTACTAGCCTAAGCATAGGCTAATAATACGCTTGACTGTAGGCCTAGGCCTATGCCTAGAAATTATATCCAATATGGCATAGCCTAGGCCTATCAACAAAGTAAATATAAAACAGAAACATAATCCTGAATAAGACAATTTATGCCCATGTCATTTAACCTCAACCTGATATTATTAATTAACCAACTGGGTAAGGGAGTGTTCAGAAATACTTGTTGTTGGGGAGGGGCGAGGGGTTTCTAAGTAATGTGAAGCAAAATCCTTTTAGGTCATGAAAAACGAATTGAAAAATAAAATTGCACTTAAGGAAGGGGATTAATACAATTAAGAAATATTAGCTTTTCTACATATAACTTAAATAAGACTGAAAATTTTAGATGCCCTCTAAGTGCTTTTATGGTAAAACTTCCCAAAACGTTATGTTATGGTATTTATGGTAAAATTTTTCTAAACGATGGTACTGTGTTTGGACACACAGTACCGTTTTGTTTAGCATTTCGGGAAGTTTTACCATAAAGGCTACGATTTTAATTCAAATGATGTTGAGTGCCATAGCTTCTGATGAGTTGCACTCCTAAATTTGGTATAAAAACATACATTATAATTAAGCATTGCACTATCTGGAAAATAATTTCCTGCCCTTCTTCCTTTACTTTGCTTTTGTGTATTCATTGATATACATTAAAAAAAATACTTTGAACTTTTTCTTAGCATTGTTTTAATCTTTCTATCCAACTAAAGGAAAGTAATTCGACATGGACTAAATTTGATTGTTAATTAATGGAAAATTTGGCATTTAAAATAAGTTCAACATAGAAATTATTTGACCTTGGAAAGTTTGAATGTATATTCAATTCCTATCCATGGTTCACTTATTTTACTACTAGTTCACCTGTATACCAAGGCCTGTGATGTGCCTTCTTTATCCAAGTGGCCTTTACCTTACCAAGTACCTGTATTACCACATGATATGGAAGATCTTTTGAAACAGCAGGACAAGTCGGTGTTGTCAAGGCATACAAAGTTTATTTGAAGACATGATACAATTTACTCTGTAAGTATTTAACCTGATTATTATGTTTTTGAGTACTACTTAAAGTTTTACTACTGTACTAATTTGATGCAGTTTCCTCTTTCCAGACCTGCTTCTGATTACCCATGACTTTCTCATTGATTCAATTTATTACCTGGGCATCCTCACATTTAGTACTATGAAAAGTAATGAAGTCTACTATAATGCATGCACTGTCAAGACGGTTTATTGCTAAAGCTTCAAAATACTTTAATTCATCTATTTTAACACTATTCTTTCCATGTTTATTCACTAATTGTTAATCTTGATACATTAATTTTTCCCCTTGCACCTTTTTTTTGTAGATATCCAACAACAGCTGAGTATACTGAGGTAGCCAGAGCTAGTTACCAAGTTTAAGATCTTAGAAGATAAATCTGGAAATTCAACAGGACATGTAAGCCATGGAGTTAAAAATTTTACATACTGAAAATTACAGCAAAAAAAATAATTTAAGTCAAATTCTGGGGTAGATTAAGGGTGATTTCAAGCATGATGTCATCAAGGTATTTAGACTTTGTGTATCAGAACATACAGTACATTGTAATAATGCTTAAGTACCATAGCTACTGCCATTTAGTATAATTAATAATTGTATGCTGTTGTCTGAACCAAACTAAGAGTTAGTCAGACAGATGAAATAACATGCAAAAGGGCATTTTTGTACTCGCATATAACTCTATGACTCTTTATTGTAGTCTCACAATAGAGATGTTGGTGGTTCAAATTCTTTGATTCAGTCCAATCAGCTTATAGCTTTTTGGGAAAGCACAAACAATTGGAATGAAAAGTAGATTTAAGGTATAAATTTACATTCATAATGTAAAATATGGTATAAGGCCTATCTACTTCATCCAAATCACCTTATTTTCAGGTAAAAATCATATACTGGCACAAATACGGCAGAGAACTGAACTTTTAATGTGGCACTGTCCCTTAGAAAATTGTAAAATCATAAAAAATCGAATTAAAAAATTACTGTACTATGTACACATAATGTAATCACCTTAAAGATTAAACATATCGTAAACCACAATAGTTAATATAATACTGTATAACAATATTAAATACAATAAACAATAAAATTGCTAAAAGCAAATGTAAGCATTCTCATACTCAAATGGTTGTAAATGTTTGAATATTGAGTTTTAGTATGTGTGTGTCATGGTAAATGTTTTTTCCGATTGTCGAAGTGACAGTGCATCTTTGAATTTTTGAAATGATATTTTCCCTATTTGGCATCTTAGGAAAATACGTCAGGAGAAAACCAAGCCAGCATCAAGCATGTAACAGATTTAATGGACCTTTCAAAGAAGTGTAACCCAGACCAGAACATTAAGATGTGTATAAGAGACAGCTTTGTTTTTGTGTATTCATTGATATACATTAAAAAAAATACTTTGAACATTTTCTTAGCATTGTTTTAATCTTTCATTCAAACTAAAGGAAAGTAATTTGACATGGACTAAATTTGATTGTTAATTAATGGAAAATTTGGCATGTAAAATAAGTTCAACATAGAAATTATTTGACCTTGGAAAGTTTGAATGTATATTC